CTACCGAGGGTGTGGATTCTTCTAAACCTCTTAGGATAGATCCCTCATGTCTAGCGGAGCTTACTATAAATTCCTTGAATGGTTTCAAGCCCCACATGTCTGTGGAGGCTAACGCTCTATTTTCGCCCTTCCACCCGGTACCACCCACTCTTAGGGTCTTTGGTGTCTAGGTCAGCATGGGGCTCTGTGCAGGACGAATAGGGACTCTGGGCCGGGGGCGGGGCCCGCGTGAGGCGCGGTGTGACCCATGGGCAGCAAGCTACGATCGCCTCCGACACTGTAAGCCGAAGATTCACAAAAAGAGCTCCTGCTGCTCCCCGAACGAGAGGGCCTTTCTCGGCAATTAACGCTTGGTACGGGGAACCCTCCGGCTGTAGGTGGGGCGGGGAGGTTTCATTCTACGGGGGGGGGGGGGGGGGCTGGAAAACAACAACAACAACAACAAAACCAAAAAAGTAAAAGAAAAAAAAAGAAAGAACAAAATAACTGATGAACAGAATAGGACCAGAGGAATGGACCAATGGAACAAAATGAGGGTGGGAGGGGAGAGAGGATGTGAAGAGGTCAACCAAGGAATATATATGTACATATATGCCCAGCCCAAGGGCACAGAAAATAATGTGGTGATGGCCAGGAGGATGGGTGGAGGGTGGAGGGAGGCAAAGAGGGGGGTATGGGGCACATCTGGAATAGAGTCAACAATAATAAAATAAAAAATAAAAGGCATAACCCCCGGTGAAGAATTAAAAAAAGTGAAGGAAGCAGATTTGACTTGACACTGCCTTCAGGGTTACCCAGGACATGCATGTGACCTTCTGTAATGTTACAAATGATTGGACCATATTGAGGGCTTACTAATCACCCAGCATGAGTGACACTCATTATCCCATTTCCAGATGGGGAAACTGAGGTGAGGGGAGGTGAAGTACCATGTCCACATGGGTAGATAGTAATTGTTTGGGGAGATGGTTCTGGCAGCCAGTGTCTGTCACCACAACCAGTTTGGACTTAGGTGTTATCATTGCCATGAATTTAAAAACTGTAGTTTTATTCTATAGGCAATGAATTTCCCCATTTTGTTTTAAAGATCTGTGTTCCTTCCTCATTTTTAAATGTTCCCTACTAAGTATAGATTATAAAGTGATACTTAAAGACAGTATTTGCTTTCTTCTGCTTTCCCTCATTGCTACAGATAATTCAGTGACACGGCTCTTCTTTTGAATGTAATCTGTCTTTTCCTCTGGCTGCTGTCCAGATTTTCCCCTTGTCTTCGGTTTCCTTTGACTCACCCTTACCCTGATTCAACCTCAACGTGGGAGTGGCCTCCTTTGACACTGCCCCCCTCAGACAGGGTCTGTCTTGGCTCTCATTTCCAGGCCACAGAGGCCACAAACCAAAGCTCACATGATCCGTATGGGCAAATGCCTGTGGGGAGTTATGTTTGGCTTAGATATGCTACCTAATCTTCTGCATCCAAGCTTATTCGAAATTCCATCCTAATAAGGTCCCATTTATGTTTCCATTCAGTTATTCTATCCTTTTAAAATGAGGGATTTCATTTTTTTTATTCACCTTTTTATTTTATTTTTTTTAACCCCCAAAGGATTTTGTTATTTTTCAGCACAAGTTTTGAGCACAATGATTTAACCTGGTGTTAAACAAGAGTCACAAGTCAACTTCTTACCACACTGACAGTGGGGTTTGTGTAGTGGGTGTTGGGGGACAAAATGCCCTCCTAGTCACACCATGTAAATGTCCACTTCTTTCCTTGGGGCCACTCTCTAACGTTTAGGGCATAACTTACCTGGGTTTGGTGCTTGTTTTGTTCACTGGGACAGTCACCTGGGCCCATACGACTGTGGCCACCAGAGCCAGTGTTGTGGCTGGACCAGCCCTGGT